ACTGCTACCATTCTAGCAAAAGTCCAAAAGAGCCTAAGAAAGTCCAGAAATCAGTCCAACGCACTGACTAATTTCTAGATTCATGAGGGCCTGTTCTTGCTACACCTCAAGGGTCTTTGTGAGACCTAATCAGGTGGGAAAGGGCAGGAATTACCTAGAATACCCCCTACGTGGGAATCTGTGCATCTGCAGCAACAAATACTCATTGAGTCCCTTCCCTGCATTGGCCACTTTCTGGGCAAAGAGCACACAGGGCCCGTAAGGCCCACATAGGCTCTTATGTCGTGAGGAGAAAGAGAGGTGATACACACACGTACAACCAAGAAATAAATAAGTGAATAACTATTTCAGTTAAGCCATGAGGGCTATGAAAAAACTATAACATGGTAATTTTTAACTAGGGTGGTTAGAGAAAGCCTCTCTGAATCAAGGACATGAAAGCTACACCTTGATGATGGCAATATGGTCACGCAAAGGTCTGAGGATAGAGGCAGAGCAAGACCAAGTGCAAGGGCCCTGAGATGGGGCTGCTCTTACTGTGTTTAGTGAGCATCGTATGGCCAGAGCAGGTGAGTTCAGGGAGCGAGGCTGGGGCTGAGTTCCATGGGGTGCAAGGCTGAGGAAGGGCCTGAGCTGGCAGCGACTGGATCCGAGTTTTGCCTGAGAAAGGTCACTCTGACTGCTCTCAGAAAGTAGGCTGAGCCAAGGCATGGGCTGAGGCTCCCATCTTCTTCTTTATTTTGGATCCTTATCAGAATCCAGAAAGCATACTTTTAACCTAAATTTTTATTTTATATTTAGTGAGGTAGCTGTGGTACTCTTAAGAATGCCAGGTATAAGTCTCTTCGCAGTATATTGTATGTCACAGCTTTTCTAGAAAAGTGCCTCAGTTTTAAAAGTAAGTTTTTTGTCCCTCTGAGCACATGTGACCTTCTTGGATGGCACACTCCCATGTGGGGTCCAGAGGAGAGGGCCACTGTACCGAGTGCCTTTTGTTGAAGGAGTCCCCTCCTCTCTCCTTCTGCCAGGCAGAAGTACCATCTCCGACTAGCCCTGCTCTACTGATTAATTTGCCTTCCTCCAGCATTCCTGGCTGCTCTGAGACACCCGGCTGCTCAGAAAGAATCACATGGGGCTGGTGGGGGCTGTCTTTCCACGTGAGTTGAAAAATCACACTTATTTCATTTTTAGCCACCTCATGCCTATAGCAGGGGATTCAGAAAGAACACGGTGGGAAGAACACGGAACCTGGTATCGGGGCCAGCTGGCGTTTCCATTGCATCTCTCCGCTTCCCACACTCCAGCCAAACAGTCACTCCCTCCATTCACACCCACACTGTTTCCTGATCTATTCCTTCATTTGGGTTGTTGCCACTGGAACCCTGCTCCATCCCCTTTAGGTATCCATTCCTTGGAACGCGTCCTTCAAAGCCTAGGTCACATGGCATCTTCTCCAAGCAGGCACTCTAGGAGCTCTTGAGCCTCTGCGAGGGCCCCATCGCTGAGTCTCCGAAGCATTTGCATGAGCACGGGTTCCAGATTCAGACATATCTGCGTTTGGATCTCGTTGAGTGACCTTGGGTACCTGGCTTGTCCTCTCTGAATCTCAGTCTGCTTGTGTCTAAGGTGAGGGGGGTAACTGCACTTGCACCATGGTGTTGCTATGCCAGGAAGATGAGATCACACACGTAAAGCCCTTGACCCTGCGACGGACCATCACTCAATAAATGGGGAGGGTTATTGTTAATAGAGTCACCCGTGCATTGTCTTACATCTCTGCTCACTCTGAATCCTTCGGGACACATTAACCTACTCGTCACCACCTCCTGGCGGTGCCTCCCGTGGAGCCGGGGACACCCAAGCTTTGCTTTCTTCCAACGTCCTTGGGTGGAGCCCATCTCTTCCAGTCCTGCCCTTTTGAATCATGACACCAGAGGGCGGCAAGAGAGCACGGACCCTGTGGAAGACTGGCAGCCTTCTGGGGCGCTCCCTCTTGGCCTGGGCAGCGGTGAGCCACCCACTGTGGATTCCTCTTGCTTGAATTGTACTTTCATTCCTTCACTCTGGGGAAATTTCAAAACTACATAAACCAAGAGCTAATCATTGCAGTGCTTTGGGAAGGCTTCCTTTGATTGCTTTAGCTAATCAAAACCAGCCAGGATTCTCCGGAGCTCATCATATGCCCTTTACTATGCGTCATGTTTTTAGGGTTGAATGGGTTCCAAAGGCAAAATGCTTTGAACAATGCCTGGCACATAAGGCAGCAATCAAGCCTATTTTAACGGGCCAATGAGGAAAGTGAATAAAAGGCAGTAAGGAGAGGAAAGGGAGCTTCTGAAATCCCAAAGGGGCTGCGTGAATCATTCCTTTCATTAGCGGAGCCCCTTCTGTGAGCTAGGCCCTGTGCCAAGTACTTTGCAAATATTATCTTATAACTAATGTTATAACAAATGTTAAGAGAAAGGTGAGTGTTTCTGTCTGCATTTTAACCATTGTCATGGCCCTTGGTTCAAGTCTCAGCAGAGCCAGCTGGGTTAGTGCTGGTCCTGCTAAGGGAGGGGAGAATTATCCACCGAAGGATCTGCAGGTGATATGAACCAGCAGGTGGGAGAGCTTACCTGGGAGAGGGTCTTGAGGAGGTTAGACCATGAGGAATGGAATATGAGACTGGTTAGAGGAATTTTATTGATATGGGGGCAATACTTTTATCAGTTCCCCAGAATCAGTCCTAAGCTGCTGCTGAGTTGCCTTGTGGAACTTGGAAAAAGTTATGGCCTCCATTAAATGAGGTGGAGATGCCAGAACCACCTTAACAGAGAACTAATAAAAGGATAGAGTTTGAGAGGTGGGTTTGCTTGAATGAATCTGTTATATAACTGCCAAGCCCATTAATTGAATCTGTTCTTCGGAGAGCCCAGAAGACTCTCCTTTCATTAAGGTTATAAGGAGTGTCCTGGTGAAGGGGCATGAGCATTACTGAGAAGCCAAACAGTGTCTATTGACCTGGGCTCCAAAGCACCAATGAGAGTAATAAGATTCAGGATAGCAGAGGATAGATAGGCCACAGGAGTTAACCACCAGAGGCAAGGTAGCTCAGCATTTGCAAATCAATCAGTGTAATCCAGCAGCTCAACTAGCTGAAGAAAAATACATATATTATGTTTGGGTTAATTGATACAGAAAAGGCATTTGACAAAATCCAACACCGATTCATTATAAAAATGCTCAGCAAACTAGAAATAGACAAGAACTTTCTCATCAGGGTTAAGAATATCTACAATAAAAACTTACAGCCAAGCATGGGGAAGGCCTGGTATGGGGCAGGGGTTGAGTGGAGAGAGGCAAAAAGGGAGAAAATTAGAGACATCTGTAATGCTGTCAACAATAAAATAGTATATATATATATATATAGTATGTTAATTTACAAATTCTAAGTAATGAGAGGCATTGACAAGTGTTAACCCTAGGAGCAATGCAGCTAGATCAGAATTTTAAATAGAACACCCTGTCCTCTATGTGAGGGTGGATTGTGGGGTGGATTGACAGGGGGTAAAGAAAACCATCTTGAAGACCATTGCAATAGTTCTGGTAAGAAATTATCTCAATCCAAACTTTGGAGGTGTGTGTAGGGATAGCGAGGGCCTGACCGTTGGTGGGGGGAGGGAAGAGAAGAGGAATGACGAATGGTGACTGTTTCTCTGGTTTAGGTGAAAGCACAGATGGTAGTTTCATTCCCCAAGAGAGAGAAAACCCAAGGAGAAAGATAGTGAGTGTTGCTGGAGCTGGGCAGGGAGGAGGGGATGCTCAATGCCATTCAGATCTATTTAGTTTGGGTGCCTATGGAAGTCTCAGTAAGGGTGTCCCTGACATATCCTCATGCCTGTGGGTAATGAGACTAACTGCCTGAGATGATATGGTTAAACAAAGGCTGGAACCCAGGAAAGACAGAGCGCCACAGCCTGCAGTGACTGCTGGTAGTAACACTACAGAAATGTCAGGGAGGGTAATGGCTGTCGCGACCTTGCGTTTGTGTTTTTCCAGCCCATTCAGCATTTGGCCTCCATGATTCCAGCTGGACCAGCCTTTACTTCCTTTAGTGACACTGTCACACTCTCCACCAGAGACCAATCCCAGGAGTCTCTTCTCCCCCCACCTTGCCCAATTCTGCTTCTAATGCTTTTCTAAAATCTTCTTCAACCAAGTGGGCAGTCCATTAGACTCTTGGAGAACATGAGAACATTCTACGGAGAGAAAACCCAGGCAGGGACCAGAACCCAGAGGGAGCTCGCACTCCCTGCCCGTCCCCTTGGCCATGGGCTAAGGTTGGGCTCCGTGTGTGTAAGGCAGTGCTGGGCTGAGACAGCTAGATCCTCTCCCCCCCAATGAGAACATCTTATCCCCCCTTCATAGCTGGCAAGCGTTGCTTTCAGATGCATGATGAAGTCATTTTTGTTTTATTTTGGTGTTGGTTTGGTTTCATTTTGAGAAGCTATTGAATGTATTCGATGTTTTGGGGAGCAGACTTAAAGGGGTGGTCAAGATGTCTGCCCTCCTTTGGGAGCTGGCCAAGAGAGTCGATTGCAACCATTGACCCACACATGGGTTTTTATAAGGTGAGAGACAGAGGAACAAAAGCCAAAGAGAACACAGGATCCCAGACTTCCAGGATTTATTCTGGATCATTGTACGCACTCACAGATTCAGCTATAATACTGGGGACGAAGTCAGAGTTACTGTAGTAACTGTCCTCAGGCAGAGGCTCTGGCCCCCTGAGGTTGGGATTGGGTGGGATGGGAGTCATCAGGAGCAGGTGCTGGGCAAAAACTCCCCCTCCCCCACCGCTCTATCACAGAGACATGGTCAGGGTCAGGCAGGGTCAGGCAGGTTCACAGATGAGGTGGGCCGTCCAGACTGGGGGATCTGAGGTAAGTGAGGCCACTGCTTCAGCCCTCTCTTCACGTGTGTGCGATGGCCTGAGGGCCTCTGGGACATAGGGCTGGTTACTTATGTTTGGTGGGCCACTGCACCTCCTGCTTCTGCTGCTGCTCCTCTGCAGGGGCCAGGGCTTCTCCCTTCAGTGGCTGGGCTGGGTGGGTCTCTTGGACCTGGCCAGGAGCTGGGATGAATGCAGGTTGCTCCAGCTGCTCTGCCAGCTCCAGCTGTTCCTCCTGCTGGCCCAGGGGCTCCAGCAGCTGCTCTTCTTTCTTTTCTACTTGCTCATCTCTCTTTGCCAGCTCTCGATCCAGTTGCTGGTCCAGCGGCTTCTTCTCCTCTTCCAGCTGTTCCTTTAGCTGCTGCTCCCTTTGTGCTTTATCTTCCTGCAGCTGCTGCTCCAAGTTTTCTGTTTTCTGGTCCTCATGCTGTTCCTGCTGCTGCTGCTGCACTTTCTGCTCCTGTGATTCTTGCTGCTGCTGCTGTTCCAGGTGCAGTTCCTGCTCCTGTGACTTTTGTTCCTGCTGCTGCAGCTCCTGGGGCTGGGGCTCACAGTCTTGCTCGGGCACCCCTTTCACAGGAGTTGTGTGTTTCTCCCCCTCTTCCAAGGGGACCTCCCTTGGGATCTCACAGGGCACCTGCTGGCACGGGACAGTCAGTGGAGTTGGCTGCTTCACTTGCTCCTGCTGGATATCACCGGGAGAAGGAACAGACTTGAGGGGCTCCTCACTGAGGACTGGGGGCAGGGTCACTGGCAGAATGTGTTGCTGCGACATCGTGGAAGCTGCTTTAGGTCAACCTGAAAAACGGGAGGGGTCAGGGGGGTGGCTGAAGAGAGGAAGCAGATGAATTCCCCAGAGAGCAGTGCCAGGTTTCTCAGCGCCTTCTCTCTTCCCCAGGGCCAGGCCCTCTCCCACCACCCCCCAGCTGTCATTTCCCAGAAGCAGCAGAGAGTGAGGGTAGTGATGGGGAGAGGCAGGGAGAGGCAGGGAGAGACTCTCCTGGGGGCCTCCTTCCTGCAAGAGGCCTGTCTGCAGAGCTGCTCTGCAAGGGGGCAGGGTGCCACTGTGCCTTCTGCTCAAGACTCATCTTCATCTCTCCTCATTTCTGACCTCCGTTGACCAAGGAGGAGAGAAGAGTTGTGGGATCATAGCAGAAAGAGGTAAGGTTCTAGAAAAGTCCTGGAAACCATTAGTCCACGCGGGAAAGACAGCAGACGTCATGGCATGGGCCTTGGATTGGAGTCACACAGCATACTCTTGGTCTAAATATCCCACTGAAATGCTGTGCGCTCCCTGGCAAGGCACTTAGCCCCTCTGGGCCTAGGCTGTCTCCTCTTTATAATGAGCAGATTGGCCTGTTCAACTCCAGAGCTAGTTTCTCTCAGGACCTCTGAGCTTTAGCTACAGCCCCAGTGCTCAGGTGAGGTGTCGTGGGAGGGGCTGCAAGCTGGCTCTTTCAAATCTCCACTTTTAACTTGGTTTTTCCTGCACCTGCTCTGCCTGGGTTTCTCCAAACAGAAAGTTTTCCCCATTCTGAAGTTTCCCCTTTAGCCGCAGAGCCAAGAGTTACAAGAATTTCCCTGAAGCCTCTGCCCCCATGAGAAAGGCAAAATCACAGTCAGCCTAAATAGAAAAATTTTAGGAAAGAATTTGGCCCTGTTCACCCTTCGTCCCCATCTCACGCCCCCCACCCTCGGTCTCGCTCTCACCCTTTCACATACAAACACACAAATTCCAAAATATGGTCCAAAGGAAGATGGGACAGGAGGGGATTGTCTGTCATCTGTTCTGTTTCCATCCCATAGTACCTGTCCCTCAGCACAGTGACCCGAGCCCTTCTAGAAGGACAGGTACTGCAGCTGAATCCTGCCCAGGAGTGACACCTGCACCCACCCTGACTGGCCACCCCAGCCCTGTTCTGGCCTTTTGGAGGTCCCCGTCCCAACCCTGCTTCTGGTGGCCCACACTTACCAGACCCACAGTGAGGATGGCTGGAGGGCTCCTAGAAATGCTGAGCTGAGCAGGGGCCAGGGCACCCTTTATACCCTTTCCCAGACTGGCCACCTTCCCAAGTTGAAGGAGATGGACTGGTTCCACCACTGAAGTTGGTCAACTTCCTCCAGCCCCTCCCTGACCCATCACAGGCACCTGAAGCATAAAAACCCTCAGGGCCCCTTTTCCCAGAGAGACACAGTTCCTGCCTGGCCAGAGGGCTCTGGGGGCTCAGGCACTCATGCCTTACTCATGACCTGGGCACAGGGAGGTGAGGGAGGCAGGTCAGGAACCGAGTCCCCTTTGCTTATTGCTCTGTGACCTCAGCCAAGCATCTCTGAATCTCAATTTCTCCACCTGTAAAATGGATTTGTCCCCATTATTAGGCTGAGAGATTCCTTTCCAAGGGCAAGAAATGGAAAGTTATGCTTCTCTCTGGGATGCCCAGACAGGGTATGTGGTGTAGAGGTGGGAAGAGGTGGGGTTACTGGGGCTTCTCTTGGCCGTTAGCCCACAGTTCCATCTACTCTCAAGTCCTGTCTATAACTCTGTGCTCTGAGGAAATAAACTCTGTCTTCAGGGGCACAAACAGAAGGCTTGCAGTAGTCTCCTGCTATGCGCCATGGGCTGCCCAGGTCCCATGTCCAAAGCCGCAGTTCAGAAGTTCCCAAGGGTAAAATCTCATAGAAACTCCAAAGGATGGGCAACTCTAGGCAGAAAACAGGCATTCAATGTGCAAATATGCTTTTTATGATACTAAAACAAACACCTTCTAGAATTTTTTTTTGGAAATGCATGAAAGTATTGAGGATAAAACCAAATCCTCCATTGTTTTGTCCAAACCACTCCCTAAAAAGAGCTTAAGTAATCTTTCAGAGTGGGTACTGCAGCTTGTCCCTTCTGATATTGGTGGCGACTCAGCACATCTAGAATAGAGTCCAAACTCACTTCCTTGGTGTCAGAGACCCTCGCTGAGGGTGCTCAGCCCCCAGGGGGAGCCCAGCACTCCCCACCTTGGGGCTGGCTGCTCCCAGGCCCCTGGCTCTATGTGCCTCAGCATCAGCATGAATGTTGGGGCTGCCAGGGAGCCTTCCCTGACTACCCCAACTACAAGGTTATCTTCTGGCTCACTCATGTCACTGATAACAATTGAGGGCCTTTTGTTTGCATTTGGTCACTTGTTTATTTCCTATCTATCTCTCCTGTTGGAGATTAAGCTTTACAAGGCAGGGGTTGGTTTGCCCGGACTGTGTTCCACTCTCTCCCCAGAACCCATCGTAACCACCACATAGACTCAGTGCTCTACAAATGTTAAGAGAAGGAATGAATGAACCGTGGATCTCACCACCTGGAGATAACTACTATCAAAGAATTTAGTGTGACCGCAATGTGTGTGTGTGTATGTGTATAAAAAGCAATTGTGATATGCGTCTTAATAATTACTTTATAGCTTATTTTATGTACATTATTCATTTAAACTCTCTTCTTTACAGTCTAATCAAAAAAGAACTGTTAGAAAACTAAAGACAAATACTCATTTCTGGGACTCATTCTGAGAAGCATCCTGATTCCTCATGGATTTCCCAAAAGGCAACCTTTCTTCCAGGCCCAATAGATCAATTTACAGTGTTAACTTTGCCATGCTCCTGGGGCTCAGTCAGAAAGACAGATGGAGGAACCCCTGAATCTGAAAGGCTCCCATATCCTCATTTCCTTCCTGTTCCCTGAGCCCACCTGGGACCTTGCTCTGCCTCCTCCATAGCTCAGGAACTGTGTCATTTTCTGGGGCAGGGGAAGCCCTCCTCTCCCCCCACCCACGGAGAACTAACCAAGCATCCTCACATGGGCACCCATGACCTTGAGCTCTGCTGCTGACCTCACATAGCAGGAATCTGCCTCTCCCCAGCCCATGACAGTCAGTCCCAGGACAGCAGACCCTGCTCCCAGAAGTCGTACCGGTCTTATGAGTTTCTAGGGGCTGTATCAGCCAGATCTGCCTCCTGCCCTCTGATTCACAGCATAATGAGCGCTTTGGGGGAGACCGTGTGTGAGCTTTCAGCCACTGGGCAAAGTTAGGGTGTGGGGAGGAGGGAGGAGCATGAAGCTGAGGGTGTGTGTGTGTGCGCGCACACGCGCACACAGTAGGGGTTAGAGGAGTCCCAGCATTTTAAGGGCTCAGAGACCTCATGCTTTGCCCTCAGGTTGCCCCACTGGGGGGCAGACATGCATTATATCGGGGACATTCCCTCGGTGTCTGTGTGAGTGACCTCACAGGGTCCACAGGATGAGTGAGGTAACTGTCCAGCCCCCACCCAGCGTAATGAGGATGAGCTCACATCCCATGACACCTGCAGAGCCTTGGCCCCAGCTCTTCCCCAGCCCAAGGACCCTGGCTCCCTCTCTTGCAGAGCTGAAACCTGGCGGTTCCTCTTTCTCTTGGAGTGAGACAGCCCATTTGAACTGTTGCCCAGCTGCGGGGGGAGGGAGGGACTGATTACAGCGGTCACTGCCCCGGGGGGAGTGTTGGGACAGCTGTCAGTTGGCAGTATGGGGTGGTGGCAGGTGGGCCTGGGAATTTGCCTGGGCCAGGAGGTCTTGGGTTCCCTCCCATCTTGGCAGCCACACCTACGCTCTTTTCTGGGTGAGGCAGGGGCCCCACACACTGAGGCCCCTACCCTCCAATCCCTCCCCATGGGCCTCCTCTGCCCAGGACACCGTGGGCGACACCATCTCTCAATCTGCAACCTGCACTCGTTGCCTCCCCACGTGCCCGGATCCTCGCCGTCCTCCTCCGAGGCCTCCTGAGCCTGACCTTTGCTCCTCAGCTCCCTTTTGTGCTCTGGAGGGGACAAGGCAAGGAGGGGAGATGGGACCACGAAAGGGCAAGAGGCTGGTTCCTCCCCTGTGGGCTTCGGTGCGGGTCCATCTGACGTGCCTGACTGGCCTTCTTACGTCTCCCTCTGGCTTCCCCTCCTTGGCCTTTGGGACGGCTGCTCCCACTTCTAGTCCCTGTGCTGGCTCTTGCTCTGCTCTCCACGGAAGGCCAGTCCCAGTCTTGTTCCTGGTGCAGTAAAGGGGCAAGGGTATGCACAGCTCCCAGGGGTGGGACGAGGAGGTGCTCAGCGTCCTCCCATCCAGCTGGCAGGGTGCCCTCCCCCGGGGCTCAGTGTCTGGAAAATCACATTCTTTGTAGTCGTTTCTCTGCACAGGGAGGCAGCAGCGTGTCTGAGCTGGAGGGGCCTCGGAGAACACACAGGGAAGACTCCACCCAGTGTCTGGTACACAGGAGCTTCTGAACAAGCCAAGTCCCCTCCACTGGCATTTGTCCCCTCTTGTGACAGGATGGCATGGAAGTCTGGAGAGGGGACATGAGTAGCCCAAGCACAGTGAGCCTGTGATAGAGCTGGCCTGGAACCCACGTATCCTGACTTCCCTCTGGCGGGCTCTCTTCCCCACTAGCCTGCCTTCCCAGGTGCTTGAGCATCTGATGACTGCGGACTTGGTGACCTCAGACATCTTCCAACTCCAAACCAGTCATTTACTGACTGCCCCCTGTGGGGTCACTTCTGGGTCCGTTCTCGACTAACGGCCTGTGCACGGATGCAGGTGTGAGCAGACCAGGGCCGCACGAGTCTCCCTGCGAAGAAGGCAGAGGCAACGAACCTTCCAGGCTGCTGCTCGCCAGACCTGGTGCTACACAGGCCCCATCCACTATCCCACTTAATCCTCTGCGCTTAACAGACGACCAGCTGAGGCTCAGAGCAGTGCAGTGACCGGGCAAC